CAGGCTCTCTCTCTCTCTCTCTCTCTCTCTCTCTTTCTCTCTCTCTCTCTCTTTCTCTCTCTCTCTCTCTCTCTCTCTCTCTCTCTCTCTCTCTCTCTCTGGCTCATTTCACTTAGCATGACAATCTCCATGTTGATCCACTTATATGCAACTTTCATGAGTTCATCTTTTTTTTTTTTTGCTTTTTAGGTCACACCCAGCGATGCTCAGGGGTTACTCCTGGCTCATGCACTCAGGAATTACTCCTGACGGTGCTCAGGGGACCATATGGGATGCTGAGAATCGAACCCGGGTTGGCTGCGTGCAAGGCAAACGCCCTACCCGCTGTGCTATCTCTCCAGCCCAGATTTCATCTTTTCTAACAGCTACACGGTATTAAGGCCTGGGCTTTAAGCGGCGGTGATGGCCAGCGGGTCACTTTGGAGAAGCAGAAAGCAAATGAAGTGATGGAAAGGGCAGGTGCCCCCCCCCCCCCAGGCACTTCCCGATTATTCTCATCACATCGACGCTCACTCCTGGGCTTCTCCCGCTCCGAACATCCACTTCCCTGCCCAGCCCCACGGGAGAGACCCGCTCTGCATGACGCGCCCAGATGACTCCCAGCCTCATTCCCCTGCCCTGGCCATCTCTCCTGGGCCTCAGTCGGAGCCTCCCGCATCTCCAAACCCTTCCTTCTTGATCTCAGTTCCCTTGAGGCAGGAGAGATGGTGCAGAGGAGAAGGGCCTTGCCTTGCACGAAACTCACAGGGGTTTGCTCTCTGGCACCCAGAGGGTTCCCCGAGTTCCGCCAGGAGTGGCCCCCGAGCACAGGGCCAGGAGGAAGATGCTGGCAGATGCAGGTGAGGTCAACACACTCAGGTCGGGCCTGGCTTCACGGTGCCTGCCCAGAGCACAAAGCCGTTCTGAGCCACCTCAGCCAGAAGTAAACTCAAGGAACGCTGTTTCTCTGAACGTTAAGGGACCCTTGCCGGCAGGACTCTTCCCACCGGTATCCTTGTGACCTCGTAGTAAATGACCCATCTGCCTGTTTCACCTGCCCCAGGCATGTCTGGGGGCCAAGCCGGCCTTCCTCATTTCCTCCTTGGCACCTAACTCTAACTCTGCACCTAGAACTCTAGGAAGCAACTGTTCATTTCACTGACATCAAAAGGATGCAAGGGATAGCAATGTATGTATTTTTTACGATCTTTGGGTTTCTCACCCCCCCCCCCCCCCCTGCTAAAATGATTTAGGAAAATCAAAGAGGAGGGACCGTCGAGGATGTTCGGAGAATGGGTGATCACAGAGCAAGGCAGGGCGTGGCCGGTGGAGCACAAGGCCATTCCACAGGCTGAGGCATTGCTGGACGAGGGGGTCTGGGGACCGGTGAAGGGGAGAGGTGGGGACTCGGGGGAGGGGGGAACACCTGGAGCAGTGGAATGGGTGTGGGGGTGCCTGCGGGGGTGCAGGGGTGGGAATTCAGAAGGGAGGGATGAGTTGCAGGTGTCTGGGATTGCTGTGGGCCCTGAGAGGGGCAGCTGCGAAGGTGCTTGGGGACACTCAGGGATGGGCTCTGAGGGATGGACAGTGGCCATCAGAGCCAGCTCGGCCACTAGAGACCCGAGTCTGGAGTGAAACAAGAGGCAGGCCCAGGAGCGCTCGGCTTCGAGACAGTTCGCAAGGCTGAGAGCTAGGAGGAAGTGAGTGCGGGTCCGTGTGTGTGTGTGTGTGTGTGTGTGTGTGTGTGTGTGTGTGTGTGTAAGGCAGAGTTGTGCAGCCCTCAGCCCTGAGAGGCCAAGCAGGCTGGTCTTTTCTCCAGCAACAATGTCTGTGGTGCGACCCCGGCAAACGCAGGAGGCAGAGCAGAGACAGCGTGAGGAGAAGAGAAGGAGTTGGGTGCCGGGCTCCCTCCCGTCCGTCCTCCACCCCCACCCACCCCGCTGCCCCTGCCCCTCTCCTCAGGTCCTTTCTCTGCACCAGGAGAAGGACCCAGTCTCGTCGGCATGTGTTGAAAAGCTTCCCGTGGCCAGCCGTGACCCTGGGGATAAAGTCCAGAAGTTTCTAGGCCATCCGCTGGCGCCTGTGCCTCGGATGGCCTCCCCCTGCCCTCGCCCACGCCTGCACCCCGCACGGTCCCTTATTCCCTGTGCTGTGCCCTTTGGATTCCCGGGAGACTTTCTAGGGAAGCGTCTGGGGCTCAGGCCCCCTGCCCTCCCGGCCCTCCCGCTGGCCCCCAACTCCTCTCCCCGTTTCCCTGGGATTTCGGCTTTGTTTCTCTCCTTCCCTCTGCTCAGGGAGCCAGCGAAGTCAACTTCTCATTTCCCAGGAAATTCTCCCCCAGAATTTTCCCTTAAACAGGAAAATGCCTTAATGGCTTCGGAGCATTTAAGAAGTGCAAGCTAATTGGGACATTTCAGGTTCCGCTTTTCCAAAACCGCAGGTCAGCAATAATCTCAGAGGCGAGCCCTGCAGATCCAATTACCCGAAATCATCCAGACTCAGCCCGAATGCAGGGGCTTTCATTAGGGGCTGCCTGCTAATCCATTTAGTAATGAGCAACCTTCGGCGGAGTGCGAGTTAAGTAATGCCTGACTCTGGAGGAGCAATTAGTTATGCATCTATTAATTCGCCTGCTTTCAATTCGAGCACTATGTAAAAGGGAAAAATGGAACAGGAAAACATCCAAGAGGAGAGGTAGCAGGAATCGCGCGGCCTCCCGTTCTCGGCAATATTTACAGAAAGCAAATGAAAATGAGCGCCGGAGCGAGCCAGCGCAGAACACTCATTAACTTAATGCACTTTAATCTCGTGAGTAGGAACTGCAGCCAAAGTGACGCTCCAGCCCCCTGCACGACACCCTGCCAGCGCCCCTCAGCCCACCCAGCAGGGGTCTCGGCAGGAGCTTCCTACCTCCAGGGCCCCCTGTGTCTGCACGCCTGTCCCTGGGCAGGCAGGCCCCCCAGCATCTCCCTGGCCTGTTCCCTGAACCCCCTCTCCCCCCCCTGCCCACAAGGCCCCCTCTGCCTGGCCCCTTCTCAGCCCCCCTTCACTCTCTCCCTCCTTTTGTGTGTGTGTGGGGGGGGGGGGGTGGCTGCCACACTCGGCGGTGCTCGGAGGTCACTCCTGGCTCTGCCATCAGGATTACACCTGGTGGTGCTTGGGGGACCCTATGGGACACCGGGAACAGAACTTGAGTCAGCCAGGAGCACAGGGCAGGTGCCCTACCTGCTGTACCATAGCTCTAGGCCCCCACCCTCATTTTCATTTTTTTTTGTTCTCGGCCACACCTGGAGACGCCCAGGGGTTCACCCTGGCTCTGAGCTCAGGGTGGCAGCTCGGGGGGACCATATGGGATGCTGAGGATCAAACCCGGGTCAGCCGCGTGCGAGGCAAACGCTCTCCCTGCCGGACTCTGACTCTGGCCGAGCCCTCCAGCCCTCTCACCAAGGCTCTCCACCCTCCTCCTCAAAGTGCTCTCACGCCAGCCCTGGAAAGCAGCTCCCTAAACCCAGGAACACTGCCACTTCCTTCCCAGGCAAATAAACCCACCACCAGCGCCCCAAAACTTCCTCATCACAATAACTAACTTGGCACATGCCTTGTTCCTCTCTCTCTCTCTCTCTCTCTCTCTCTCACACACACACACACACACACACACACACACACACACACACACACGCACACGTAGATTCACAGGCTCTAAATCTTTCCCAAACCTTCCTTGGGAACCTGAGTCCTGCCACCCCTCTCCTCTAAATCTAGGCTGCCCCTTGTCCCACCGGGCACCAGGCTTTGGGGTTCCCAGGACACGTGGGGAGGTTTGGCCTGGCCTCCACTCTCCTTGGGCTACTCACTTCCCACCTGTCCATGCCACTCTCAGCGCTAACACGCTGACATGGCGGGTCCAGCTGCAGGGCCAGGCTCTGGGGGATGCTCCGTCTCACAGAGGAGAGGCAGGGTCTGGGTGCGGCCCCCTGACCCCAGAGCTGCCAGGTGCCTTACGGCCTGGCCAGACCCACAGCACTAGCTGCTCTGCTCCCAGTTCTCCTTTAGGACTTTCAGGCTTCCATTTGGAACCCTGCTCTGTGCTGGAAGCCGCCCCAAGAATTTTAAAAGCTCCGGTTCCAGTCTCCTGGGCAGCATCTCAGCGCCGTAGGCCCTGGCTGCCCCGGGCCGTTCGTGGGCCCTTCATCCCTAAAGAAACACTAAAACGGGGCTGGAGTGATGGCACAGCGGGTAGGGCGTTTGCCTTGCACGAGGTCAACCCGGGTTCGATTCCCAGCATCTCACAGGGTCCCCCTGAGCACCACCAGGGGTAATTCCTGAGTGTAGAACCAGGAGTAACCCCTGAGCATCGCCGGGTGTGACCCCAAAAGAAAAAAAAAAGAAAGAAACACTAAAACTCACAATTGACGCTGTGTAGATTCCTTACACCAATCTTATTTATACAAACAGAACCCAGGCTGGAGTCACCAATAAAACATGAATTTTCCTTCCGAGGTTGAATCAATGCATTTTCCCGGGGCCCTGATCCTGAGCCTGGTTAACCGTCCCCGGCCCTGGGTCCAAGTGTCAGAAGAGGAAACTGATGCTCAAAGGACCAAAGGAGCAGCGAGTTCGAGGAGGGACCAGAACCCGAGTTTCCTGGAGGGATTGAAAGTCCCTGCCCTGCAGAAACTCTTGAAAACCAGCCCGCCCGCCCTGCCAGCTCCCTCGGCGCCCCGCCCCTCGCGCAGGCCCCGCCCCTCGCGCAGGCCCCGCCCCCGAGCAGGCCCCGCCCCGAGGAGACCCCGGCCCCGCCCCCGCGTAGGTCCCGCCCCATCCCTCGCGCGGCAGGCCCGGCTCCGGAGGAGGCCCCGCCCCTCACGCACGCCCCGCCCCTCACGCGGGCCCCGCCTCTCTCCTCGCGCGGACCCCGCGCAGGCCCCGCCCCTTCCGCCGCCGGCCCCGCCCCGGCCCCGCCCCCAGAGCCCCGCCCTCCGCCGTGACTGGCCGCGGCGCGCGTCCGTCAGCGGGGGCGGGGCGGGGCCCGGCGTGCGCCTGCGCCTTGGCCGCGCGCGAAGATGGCGGCCGCCGCGCCGGGCGCTGCCATGGACGAGGAGTACTTCGGGGGCGCGGCCGAGTGGGGCGACGAGGCGGACGGCGGGCAGGTGAGCGGGGCCGTCGCCCCGCCGCGCCCCCGCCGGCCTCAGTTTCCCCCGCGGGCCCCCGGGCGCCGAGACCCGGGGGGCAAGGCCTGGCCGCGGTGCCCGGTGCTGCAGGGCCCGGGCCGGGGGGTCCCGTCCCGTGCTGGGGGCAGGGTCCGGCCCGGCTGCCGCAGGCCTGCAGGCCGGAGCGTTTGCACCGTGCCCGGCGCAGGGCAGGCCCCGCGGAGCCTCTGCTGCCCAGAGGCAGCGCTAACCCGTGGGCCACCCCGCCCGCGGCGCCCTGCAGCAGGCCTCGCCCCAGACCCAGGCCCAGCACGAGTCCCCACCCCAGAGGCACCACTCAGGCCCATGCCCAGCCCCGTCCCCTGCCTCTGCCCGGCAGTGCCCGTGGCACGTGCAAACCCAGTGAAAACCACACGCAGCCCACGGCCAGGGGCCACTTCCGCGGTGCAGGGGCCACGCGTGACACTTGCAAACCTTAGGGAGAGATCTTGCCCACCCCCGGGCGGGGGTCGGCCGGGTTATTCCCTTGGGCACCCGGGGTGCCCACCCTACGCAGGCTGGCCAGGGTGGGGACCGGGCAGACCCTTCAGCGCCTCCTGGGGCCCTGGCCAGCCCGCCCGGGGGTGCCGATGCTGACGGTCACGTCTCTCCCCCAGCAGCAGGAGGACGACTACGCGGAGGGGGAGGACGACGCGGAGGTGCAGCAGGAATGTCTGCACAAGTTCTCCACGCGCGACTACATCATGGAGCCCTCCATCTTCAACACCCTCAAGAGGCACGTGAGCGGGGGGGCGGCCGGGGATGGGGGGTGGGCAGACGTGCTGGGTCGCAGGGCCACCGGCACCCACGCGGGACGGCTTCCCCGCCTTCTTTCTGGGCCGTCCCTGCCAGACCCCCCACCCCCATCCCTCTCCCTCGCGGTCGTCTTCACCCGGTCGTTCCTTTCCAGGTATTTCCAGGCCGGAGGGTCCCCGGAGAACGTCATCCAGCTCCTGTCGGAGAACTACACGGCCGTGGCGCAGACGGTCAACCTGCTGGCCGAGTGGCTCATCCAGACAGGTGCGTCCCGGGCCCCCAGCCGCACTCAGGTCACCGTCACGCGGATGAGTTACTCTCCGACGGGCCTTCTCTCTGGCCCGGCTTTCTAAGGTTTCTTAGCTCAGTCAGAGCCGCTTTTCATGCCCATCTTTGCCGGCTTGATGCTTATCTTTGATTCGGTCACTGAGGTTCACGGGAGTCCGCAGACGTGGTTCTCACCGAGCAGTCTTCCTGCCTCGGAGAGCGACAGCGTCAGACGGTGCGTGTCCAGTGGGCCATCTTTCAGATCTGTCAGGGCCGGCAGGAAACAGGCACCATTCAGGCGTGGTCTGACGGTGGCTTTTAGCTGCTCGGATCGCCGCAGAGCGTTCCTGTAACGGCTGAGGGGGTGCGGAGGGCGTCCCGGACAGCCGCTACCCAGAAGCCCACCAGAGAGACGAGCATCTCCCGCGGCGTTTGTTCTTTCCTTTCCGCCCTTTGGCAGTCTGTCCTGGTCCATAGTGAGGCCCTGGCCGTGGCGGTGACCGTCCCCGGGTCCTGGCCGGTGTCTGCAGCTTACATTGAATGTGGTGATCGTCATTCTATAGGCGGTCCAAGGTCCTCCTGGGCCCAGGGACCTGGCCAGCATAGAGCCCAGGCCCCGTGTGTGTGTGTGTGTGTGTGTGTGTGTGTGTGTGTGTGTGTGAATTCTGTGGCGCGTGGCACTCGTTCCCACGCAGGCATGGGCGCGTCTGCTCTCGCTCGGTGCCTTGAGCCTGGCCGTGTGCCGCCGTCCAGACACTTGCCGTCTTTCAGCTCCTCCTTTTCCTTTCCTTGGAGGCGTGGAACCCGTCCAGGTCCAGGAAACTGTGGAAAATCACCTGAAGAGTTTGCTGATCAAACATTTCGACCCCCGCAAAGCAGATTCCATTTTCACTGAGGAAGGGGAGGTGAAGACCTTCTCTCGCTCCCCCACCCCGTCCTGAGGGCCTTTTCCCAGCCTCATCTGCACGGAGCGAGAGGCGGATCGGACTGGTCTGGCAGGGGCGGGGGCAGGGCCTGCCGAGGGGCCCCAGAGGCCTGGACCTCCCATGGGGGCCGGCTCCGAGCACACACCCATGACAACCGCAGGGTGGTCATTTGGACCCCCTGGAAGTAGGAGCCGGGCACGATCAGGGAGCCGGGGGAGGGACACTGGCCGGAGCCGGGGAGAGCTGGGGCAGCCGGGACTGGACCGCAGCTCGAACCCCAGGGTGGCCGGAAAGAGGGCTGGGAGGAGGCTGTAGGTGGCGTGCAGTTTCCCACCATCTCTGTGTGACTGGGAGCCACCTTCCCGTGGCCCCTCCACGCAGTCACGGCCCAGACCACCCGCACTGTCCAGTCTGTGCTTGTCCCTTGCCTCTGACCGCGGGAGCTGCACCAGGGATCAGGGGTGCTCACCTGCGTGGCTTCACAGGGAACCCGAGGGTCCCCAGGAAGTGACGTTCTGTGCAGGCCAGGGTCAGGCGTCCAGGGGCGGTGAGGGGCACTCGGGCCCACTGGGCTCGCTGGGCAGTGCCCCCATCTGTGCCTTGGCAGACCCCTGCCTGGCTGGAGCAGATGATTGCTCACACCACCTGGAGGGACCTGTTCTACAAGCTGGCCGAGGCCCACCCCGACTGCCTGATGCTCAACTTCACAGTGAAGGTGGGTGGGCGCCAGGGGCGGGCGTTGCCGCAGGGCCCAGGTCTCGGTGTTTTGCGTCTGTGGTGCCGGGGACTGGGGTCAGCAGGACTGTGGTTGGATTTGGCAGAGATGTGCGTGCCAAGTGCCGGGCGGGGTGGACCGGGCCCCTCTCTGCCATCCGACACCGCGGCTCGTTGGCCTGGCCTGGCCGCGAGCCTCACTAGGGTCTGGGCTCGCATCACCGCCGCCTGCGTACTCTGAGGCACCCACCGGCCACCGACCACTGGCCGACATGTGGCCCGCTCGTGTCCACAGCTCATCTCGGACGCCGGCTACCAGGGTGAGATCACCAGCGTGCCCACGGCCTGCCAACAGCTGGAGGTCTTCTCCCGCGTCCTCCGCACCTCGCTGGCCACCATCCTGGACGGAGGCGAGGAGAACCTGGAGAAGAACCTCCCCGAGTTTGCCGTGGGTCCCTCCCCGCGGGCGCAGGAGACAGGCGGGCGCGGCCAGGCTGGGTTGTGGGCTCCTGCTGCCCTGACACCCGCCCCCCCCCCCCCACCCTGCGCTCTTCCAGAAGATGGTGTGTCACGGGGAGCACACGTACCTGTTCGCCCAGGCCATGATGTCGGTGCTGGCCCAGGAGGAGCAGGGGGGCTCCGCCGTGCGCAGGATCGCCCAGGAAGTCCAGCGCTTCGCCCAGGAGAAGTGAGAGCCTCGCGAGCGGCTCCCCACGGCGTCCCCGACCCGTCCCGCTTTCTTCCCCTGCCCATCCCACCCCTGCCCTCCCATCCCCATTGTTTGCCGCAGAACAGCTAAGCTTGCCCAGGAGAGCCTCGAAGGCCAGGGGAATTGACCTCCTGTGGTTTGGGGGCCTCGCCCACCAGTGCTCAGAGTTGACTCCTGGCCCTGTGCTCAGGGATCACTCGTGGTGGTGCTCTGGTGGCCGTAGGCCGTGCTGGGGGTGGAACCAGGGTTGGTGCCCGCTGTGCGGCGCCTGGTGGTCCTGGTGGTCCTTGCGGGCGCCTCCCCTGTACCCCGGGGAGCGTAAAGAACAAATCCGGGCGCTCGTCTCGAGAGTCGGGGGCCGCCGCCTAGTGCCGTGCCAGCCCGTGTGTCAGCCGTGATGATGCCGAGACAGTCTCATGTGACCTCGGGCGCGCAGGGATGTAGCGGCCCGCGGAGAGAACCGTCACCCGTGCTAAAGCGTCGGTTCTCCCGAGTCCGTGTTCCCCGGGTGTGCCCGAGGCTGCCCTCGGGGTTGCAGTTCCCGGCACGTCCTTCCCGGATCCCGGGAGTGTCCCCGCGGCTCCGTGGGCCGAGCATTCAGACGGAAGGGACGGGTGCTCACGGGGTTTCTGACGGGGTTTCTGTGTCTCCCACCCAGAGGCCACGATGCCAGTCAGATCACGCTCGCGCTGGGCACCGCGGCCTCCTACCCCCGGGCGTGCCAGGCCCTGGGCGCCATGCTGTCCAAGGGGGCCCTGAACCCCGCCGACATCACGGTCCTGTTCAAGATGTTCACCAGCATGGACCCCCCGCCCGTCGAGCTCGTGAGTCCCCTGGCGTCCCCTGGCCCGACCCGTTGGGAGGGTCATCTGGGTGCGGCGAGGGTTTCCTTTGGCGGGGGTCACACCCGGCAGTGCTCGGGGCTGACTCCTGGCGGGGCTTCGGGGGACCCTGTGGGGTTCTAGGGACCAGCTGGGTCGGCGGCAGCGTGCCAGGCCAGTGGCCCGGAAAGGGTCGTTCTGGGGCGTCGGCGTTTCTCTCCCTGGGCCCTGTCCCGCTGTCCCCGCCTCGGGGCCGCCCTCCCGGCCGCTCACCCCTCCCTCTGCAGATCCGCGTGCCCGCCTTCCTGGACCTGTTCATGCAGTCGCTCTTCAAGCCCGGCGCCAGGATCAACCAGGACCACAAGCACAAGTACATCCACATCCTGGCCTACGCCGCCAGCGTGGTGGAGACCTGGAAGAAGGTGGGTGCCCGCCCCGCCGCCACCTCGGAACCCGCGTCCACGCCCGGCTGCTACTGGGGAACTTGGGCAGCAAGAAGCCTCGAGCTTCCTCATGTCAGAAACCGCTTTTTGGCGCTGAGTGAGAGTCCAGGGGTTTGGGTGCTTTCCTTACCTGCAGGAACCCGGGCTCCATCCCCGGGACCTCTTTTGGCTCCTTGAGCCCCACCAGGAGTGACCCTGAGCCTAGAGCAGGAGAGGCCAGCCAGGAGTGACCCGTGAGCACAGAGCTGGGAGTCAGCCCTGAGCACAGAGCCGGGAGTCAGCCCCGAGCACAGGACTAGGAGTCAGCCCCGAGCACAGGACCAGGAGTGTGACCCTTATTACAGAGCCAGGGATCTGCCCCATAGTCGAGAAGTCAAAACTGCTGGGCGGGGCGGCCAGCCCTGCTGGGGCCTGCAGGCTGCTGGCCCCGGGGATGGCCATGCCCTCCCGTGCTTGCAGAACAAGCGGATGAGCATCAACAAGGACGAGCTGAAGTCCACGTCAAAGGCCATCGAGACCGTGCACAACCTGTGCTGCAACGAGAACAAGGGCGCCTCGGAGCTGGTGGCGGAGCTGAGCACCCTCTACCAGTGCATCAGGTGCGGGGCCGGGGCCCGCTGGGGGCCTGGCCTCTCTGCTGCGGGCGGGACTTTCCGGTGAAAGCAACCCGCAGAGAAACGTCCTCCTTTGCTTTTCCTCTTTCGAGGCAGAAGGACATGTTGAGCGTTGGGCGGCACGCACCAGTAGGTTCAGGGGTCCAGATCAGTTTGCAGGTGGGATTAAGGCCCGGGCGGCGCCTGCAGGGAAGCCTGTTCCGGGAGTCAGGCCAGCGGGTGCTGCCAGCGGCACATTTCTCGTGAGGGCGGGGCCCACCCGGGCTCCATCCCTGGGCACTGCCGGGTGTGGCCCCCAAAACGCGGCCGTGCACCCTCCGCGTATCTGTGCGTTGTCTGTCAGGGACCAGGCCAGGTTTGTGGGGTGAGGCGGCAACCCCCCAGCTCAGGGCCGGCGTTGGGGAGGCGCGTTCCCGCCGTGCCCTTTGGTCTGCCTGCCTCCCGGGAACCAGGTGCCCCTGCCCGCCCGCGTCCCTGCAGGTTCCCCGTGGTGGCCATGGGTGTGCTCAAGTGGGTGGACTGGACCGTCTCCGAGCCGCGGTACTTCCAGCTGCAGACGGACCACACGCCGGTGCCGCTGGCCCTGCTGGACGAGGTGGGCGGCCACTGCTCCTGCCCCAGGGCTCCCCGAGGGCCGCGGGGTCCAGGGGCCCCGGTCAGCGACCTCTGCTCTGGCCTGTCCCTCTGCAGATCAGCACCTGCCACCAGCTCCTGCACCCACAGGTCCTGCAGCTGCTGGTGAAGCTGTTCGAGACGGAGCACTCGCAGCTCGACGTGATGGAGCAGGTGGGCGGCGCTGGGTGGGGGGCCGGGCGGGACCTGTCCCCTCCTCGCGGCCTCTCCTCACGGCCCCTCCTCGCGGCTGCCCTCTCCTAGCTGGAGCTGAAGAAGACGCTGCTGGACAGGATGGTCCACCTGCTGAGCCGAGGCTACGTCCTCCCGGTGGTCAGCTACATCCGCAAGTGTCTGGAGAAGCTGGACACGGACATCTCCCTCATCCGCTACTTTGTCACCGAGGTAAGAGGCCAGACTGCAGACCCCTCGTCCCCCGTGGCCGCCAACTTGTCCCTGGGAACTGAGTTTCCCCGCCGAGCACGCGCCCACACCCGGCCCGCGGAGTCGCCCTGACGGTGAGCGCGTTTGCCCGCAGGTCCTCGACGTCATCGCCCCCCCGTACACGTCCGACTTCGTGCAGCTCTTCCTGCCCATCCTGGAGAACGACAGCATCGCGGGCACCATCCGGACGGAGGGCGAGCACGACCCCGTGACCGAGTTCATCGGTAGGGCGGGCGGGAGCAGGGTCCGAGCGCCTCGTGGGTCGGGGCCGGGTGCTGGGTCTCCACTGGCCAGAGCAGGGCCGCAGAGCGCGTCTGCCCTGCTCCCCACTGACCGATGCAGCTCCGTCCCGGGCAGCGTGTTGGGGGGGGGTCCCCCGAGCCCCAGCAGGACTGCGTCCTGGGCACGGCCCATTGTGGTACCGAGAAAGGGGCGTGGGGAGTGAGGGCGGGAGCAGGACCGCGGGCCCCTCGCGTTTCTAACCCTGGGCCTGTCCTTGTTCAAGCCCACTGCAAGTCCAACTTCATCCTGCTCAACTGACCCCGGGCTGCGCCCTCGCCGCAGCAGGAGGATTCAGCCGGGTCCGGGGGAACCGAACCCGTGGCCGTCGCTCTCACCCCATGAGCCGCGGGGGTCCGCGGCCTACCTGTTCGCTGACGAGGAGCTGTGGCGGCCGTCTTGCCTCCTGCCTTCCTGCTGGGCCGGAAGGGGGGCAGCCGCGCCCCGGGTCGCCCCTGGGAAGCAGCCGCAATAAAGGCTCCGACTCGTTCTTAAGAACCGCGTGTTTTATTTGTCTCTCGGGCCATGAGAAATCGCATCTCCCTCCGCCCGACTCCAGCCGTCCACAGAGCGCAGAGCCCGCGCGTGGCCGTTCCTCCCCCGTGTCCGGCGTGCGCCGTCCCAGGAGCCGTCCTGCCGCCCCAGCTGGGGTCACCGCCGCTCAGGACCTCACGGTGCCAAAGACGCGCCGGCGGCTCCTACACGAGGGGGTCCCCGAAGGTGCAGGCGTCCTCGATGGCCAGGTTGTAGCTGGCGCCCTGCCCGCCTTTGTAGGCGCTGGTCACGATCCTCATCCAGCCCCGCTCGCCCTGCGGACAGAGGGCCGCTGCTTGGTGCCCGCCGCACCCAGGCCCCAGCCTCTCCTCGGACCCCGGCACTGGGGAGGGGCAGGCGGGCCTCAGTGCCCACCGCCGATGTACGGAACGAGACCCGGCCACCCGACACCCCCATCTGGACATGCTTCAGGAAACCATGCGGCTGGGGGACGGGACAGTGGGGACGGCATCCACCTGGCACATGGCCAGCCGGGGTGAGACGCCCAATGGCCCGGACGGGCCCGAGGGCAGAACCAGGGCTGAGCTCAGCACCACCGGTGTGGCCCCTCCCCCCAGAGCAGGCGCGACAACGAGTGGCTATGCCGTCACGGTCTGTGGTCAGCGCGAGGCCCAGGAATGCCCGTGGGGCAGCTCCCTGCCCCCTGGGCTGCTGCCAGCAGCAGCTTTCTCAGTGCGCCCAGAATTAAGAGTTCAGGGCCTCTGGGTGGGGAAGGAGGGAGGAAGGGAAATGGACCTTGAACCCAGACGTCGGCCCCGCGGGGGCACAGGGAGAAGAGCGTCGCAGGGGGCGCCCGGGACACCTTACCCACGGTTCGCCCCACGAGTTCCGCACAATCCAGTACTCGGTGCCGTTGCTGACGCCCCAGCCGGCCACGGAAACGACGTGGTTGATGGCGGCCTCCTCCGCGTACTCAGAGTAGATGCCCCCCGAGTACTTGTCCATCTTCTCGGTCGCCATGATCCCGCAGCTGGGAGCGAGCGGGGCTGTGAGCAGAGGCGCCCCCCACGCCCCACGCCACCCACCCCGGCGCTGGCCGCACTCACCTGATGGGCCCGTTGGCGTAGATCTCGGCCATCATCTTCTCCCTCCCGGCCACGGAGCCGTAGTCGCCCACCTTCCACAGCGTGTAGTTCTGGATGGCGTGGCACACCTTGAACTCCGTGCACGTCCCACACTGGTTGAACTTGTTGCACTCTGGGGGCAGAGAAGCCGGCGTGAGACCGGGAGCTCGGGTGGCCGGCCGGGCCCACGGCGAGACCGAGACCGGATGGCCGGGGACCTGCAATTAGGGGCCGGGGGCAGGCGGCCAGGGCCGTAACCAGGGCAGGGAGGCACCACACAGCCTCTCCCTCTCTTTGAAGGCCAGGGACCCGGCCCGCAATTCTCCGAGGCTGAAAATAGAGTATAATTAAATTACCAGCCGCTAATAAGACAGTACACACACTCGGGAGAAAATCAGCGTTTTCTCATTAGTGCGTTGGAAGAGGGACTGAATGAAGGCGGGGCCGGGGAACTTCCGCCGTCACCTGTGGCCCCCTGGCCCAGCCACCCTCCCCCGTTTCCTGCTCTTGAGGCGACTGGCCTCCTGAGGCCTGGCCAGGACGGCTCCGCACACAAAGGTCAGTCTGTCTGTGGCCAGCATTAGGGAGCCCTGAGGTTCTGTCGGGTTGAGTGCTGACAGCTGGGTCAAACCAGTCCCGGGCCGCCCGGGGCCAGGGACCACCTGCCTCTGGGGCTCCCCTTCCCGACAGGGGAGACTCGTCAGACCAGTCCGGGAGGATTCCGCAGGGCTGGGCAGTGTGGTCAGGAGATACGGGGCTGGCCACTTCCGCAGCCCAGCGCGCCCCTTCCTCGGGGGAGGGGGAGGGGCCCACCTCTGCTCTGGCCGGGCCAGGTGACAGGCCAGCTCCGCCCGCAGCACCTACCCTGGTCCTTGGCCTGGTAGTTGTTGCAGGTCTCGTCGGGGATGCCGTGCTCGTGGGCGTACTGCCACACCAGCAGGTCGTTGCCGCCCTCGCAGGAGCCGGCGCCCCCGCAGTCCAGCACGTGCTGCACGGACAGCAGCGTGGAGGGCCAGGCGCCCTTCCGCTTGATGTTGATGCGGTCTGCAAGGCAACGGGCACTCAGCGAGAGCTGGCGGGACCCCGGCCCCCCGAGCAGCCACAGGAGCCCCGAGCCACACCCCAGGTCCGGACTCCCCGGGCCTCACTGCCCAGGGGCCGCTAAGTCCAAACCTGTCCGCTCTGGGGCCGGACACCCGCCCCCCCCCCCGGTGCCCTCTGGTAGCCCCCTCCTGTGTGCCCAGAGCCGGCAGAGCCCAGTGGACACGCGTTGAGCGTGTGGCACCAGCTGGCCTGGCCACACGCATCCACACCAGGCCCCAGGACTGCTCCAGAGCCGCTGGCCCAGGCGGGAATCTGGGCGCCGGGGCCTGCTGGGGCTGTGGTCGCAGGGCTGGGGGCAGGTGGCTGATAGGGGGACTGTGGGTTTGTGGGCTGAGGGGGCAGCAGCTGTGGGCGTCTAGCCTGCCCGTGGCTTCCGTCACCCGCCCAGCGACCGGACCACCCCCTCCTCCAGGCCTGGCCGCCAGCATCCTGGGCCCTGCTCTCCCACTTGCCCGGCAGTGCCCCGTGGCCTCACCCCTACCTCCGCACAGCCTCGCGCTCTCCAGATCCACCCGCCGACCCGGCCCGCCTCCCTCTAGGCCTCAGTCAGCCCTGCCCTGGCAGACTCGCCGACTGGCCACTGGTGGCCACACCAGCCACCCGAGTGCAGGTACAGCACCAGCATCCGTCCTTAGACACCTGCCCCGGCACCTGTGGACCGTTCCCTCCTCCAGCCCCTTTTCTCAAACCCAGCTAGAGCCTCACCCCACCCCCTGCCTGTTCCCACACTCCCCCACCTGTGTGTGTGACCGCGACGGAACCCAGACTTGTGTGCAAGTGTGTGTGGGGGGGCTGCTCCGATGCCAGCATGTGCGTGGGATGCGCCCGGTCTCAAGTGTGCACGTGTGTGGGGACTGAACTGGGTCTCAAGGGTGCGACTGTGTGCGTGGATGTGTATCCGGTCTCTTGTGTGCAAGAGTGTGTATGTCCGTGTGAGCACGTGAGGGCTGAACCTGGCCTCGTGCGTGCGTGTGTGTATGTGTGTAAATGCGTGCATGCGTGTGCGTGTGTGCGTGGGGGCCAGAGCTGCTCCCCACCCCCTACACCGTCCAGCCCAACTGACCACAGCCAGGGGCCCCCCAGCAGGCTCTGACGCCCCCTGACTACCAGGCTGACCCAGAAAGGGCGCCCTGCTGGGCAGAGGCAGGGCGTGGGGAGTCGTCCGTCCTTGGGGGGGGGCAGGTGCTGGGCGTGCAGAGGGGTCTGTACCGAGGGGCCTGCACAGCCGTTATGTTCAGAACGGCTCTGGCTTTCCTTGGCGACAGCTTCAAGGCTTTCAAGGAGGGGTGAGTGGAGCAGGGGCTGGACAAGCTCAACTACGGGGAGCAGGTGAAGGGATGGAGGGAGATGGGACAGGTGAGGGGGATGGAGGGAGGATGGGCAGGTGAGGGGGTGGAGGAGGTCGGGAGCAGGTGAGGGGGACGGAGGGCAGATCAGCGGGCGCTGGGCGAGACGGGGCGGGGCAGGGAGCAGGAAGCGCTGGGCCCTGGATGTGAGTGTGAGGGTTTCGGAGGCCTCCGGGCTTTCCCCAGGGCCCCGGCAGCCAGGTTCGCCTTGTGGGCTGGCAGAGCAGAAGGGGGTTTTGGGGGTGGGGAGTTAGACCCACACACAAATGAGGTCAGTGTCAAGTGTTCAAGCGAGAGAATGAAGTTGGGGCCCAGGGGTCCAGTTCAGGGGTCCAGCCAACGAAGGCCAAGGACAAAGGCCAGGGAACCCAAGCTGGCAAGTTGGGGGGCGGAGAGGGGTCACGGGGAGGAGGGTGGGTGCCCCACAGGCGGAGGCGGCCCCGGAAGTGCCCAATGTGAAAGAGGAAGGAGGTCACAAGACGCGGGGCCGAGGGGAGGGGGCTGCAGGGGTGAGGCCGGCCCCGTCACAGCCCGGGGTCTGGAAGCAGAGGGGGCTGCAGGGGTGAGGCTGGCTCCACCGCAGCCCGGGGTCTGGAAGCAGAGGCCCCACCTCGGCCACCCCTGCCCTGGGCAGCCCCTGGCCCACCCCCCAAGCCTCTTTCCACTATTCCTCCTGCCCTGCCCTGGCCCAGACCAGCCCCCCAAACTACCTTCCCAGGACCCCACCCACCGGCGGGCTAAGCACCTGCTCTGCCTCCAGAGAGAGCCGCCACATGCCTCCAGGTGCTGACGCCTCCCTGACACCAGCCCCGGCACCCCCCGCCGGCCTGGAGCCATTTGCCTCAGCTCACGTGGCCGGGCCTCACCGGACGGTCAAAGAGCAGCGGCCGGAGGGGCCGTGGCGCCACCCCAGCGAACCCTGCCGGCACCAGGCACCCCCAACCCAGGAGACCCACAGCAGGGGCCCGGCCTCGCTCGGCGGGGCGGCAGGAACATCGGTCCAGGCACCCTGCTCGCGGGTTCTCCCAGCCCGTCCTGTGCCCGGGCCTCAGGGCTGACACCCCTGCCAGGCTGGGCGGGCGGAGCTAATCTGAGACCCGTGCCAGGCTGTGCAGGTGGAGGTGATCAAACACCCCGTGCCAGGCGGGCGGGCAGAGATGCTCTGACACCTGGTGCCAGGCTGGGCAGACGGAGGTGCCGGCCACCCGGGCCACCCAGGGCCAGGCTGGGCGGGCACAGGTGATCTGATGCCTGGGACCAGGCCGGCCTGCCGGAGGTGCCGGCCACCAGGTGGGCTGGGCAGGAGAGGGCCCAAGGGCCCCCCCACCTACCGGCCAGGGCGCTGGTGCTGCCGTGGGCCCAGCAGGAACCGCAGTACTGGGGGATGTGCTGGTTGCGCGTGGCGCTGGCGAAGTTGACCCCGTCCACGTTGCGCCAGTCCCAGGTCTTGGGCAGGTCCGCCGGGGACAGGTACTCGTGGGGACGGGGGTAGGTCCTGCGGAGAGACAGACGGCCGGTCAGACCCCCGCCCGCCCGACCCCGCACCCCACCCGGGGGCGGCCGCGCGCCCGCGCCCACCTGCGTCCCGGCAGCGCCGCGGGGTCCCCGCGCAGGGCCCGGTAGCAACCGCGTCCGCGCCGGAAGGGCCCGCGGGACCCCGCGTCCACCCGCAGGGCCAGCGGGGCCAGCAGGGCCAGCGCCAGCAGCAGCGCCCGCGGCCGCGCGCACGAATTCATGGTCGGGCCGGGCCGGGCGGGTCCGAGCGGTCCTGAGCGGTCCTGAGCCGGGCCCACGCGCTGCGCCCCGGACGGGTCCTCGTGCCGCGCCCCGGGCCGCTGCGGCCTTTAGGGGCCGCGCCCGGCCCGGGACACTCCCCGGGGGCGGGGCTGTCCGCGCCGGTGACCCCGGCCCCGCCCAGGCCCGCCTGGCCCGGGCCACTGCCAGGGGCGCAGATGCCCGGGCCGGGCTGGCCAGGCCTCCAGGGCTCGGTGGACCCCCGTCCGGGACGAAGCCCAGGCCCAGCCCTTTGAACCCCACTCTCCCCAGGCGGCCCCCACCCCCACCCCCGCCGCCCAGGAGGAAGGCAGGATTCTTCTAGAAAATGCCACTAGCACGCAATCCCGTCTGCTTCCTCTTCCCCGGAGGAGCGGTTTCCTGCTGACCCAGCCGCTGCCTGGTCAGCCCCAGGCCACAGGGAGCTCTGTCCCCCACTCCGTCCCCTCCTGTTGCAAAGGCCACGGCATCCCCGCCCCAGCCCACCTGGGGCTCTGGTTCCCCCCCACCCCCCCACCTACAGAGACTGCCTGTACCCACACGGGGGGCACCAGCCTCCAGGGTGCTGTGGGCGACCCCCTGAGTCAGCCTTCTGGGGCCCAGCGCCCACAGCAGCTCCCGGTTAGGGGCTGTGGACCCCGGGACCCCCTGAGATGACACTCAAATGTCAGCCAGGGTGAGGGTGGCTGGACTGAGCTCTCCCCCGCTGGGCCGAGTGGGCCAGCCACGAGGGTTCCAGGGGCCACGGGCAGCGTGTCCATGAGCTGGGAATCTGCCCATACTCAGGCTTTGAGGAAAGGCTAGAGGCCAAGTCAGGGCCCAGATGGGCCCATCCCCGGCTGAGGGGACCCAGGCCTTGGCTTGGCCCGCGTGGCTGGGACATATGGGCGCTGGGGCCTGGGGAGCCTGAGCACCGAATGTCCACCCCTACAGCCCACGGACCCCTGACCTACTGCGCAGGGGCTGGAGGGGGCCCGCGAGGGAGCCCGGAGGTGGGCAGAGCAGGGACAGGGGCCTGCAGTCACCAGCCGGGAAGTGGCCCAGCCCGAGGCCGCCCCAGGGAGGGAGGACAGCCAGGCCTGGGGGCAAAGGGCATTCAGGACACAATCTCCCGACTCAGACCAGCGGCTGGGATGGAGCAGGAGTTCGCACAATTAGCAGGCCCAAGAGGGAAGGATTCGAGTGAGTTGGGCTCTGGCTTGCACACACGCTTGATCCCTGGCGCCGTGCATCGCTGAGCCAGGAGGAAGCCCCCAGCAGTGCCACGCCTGACCCCAAAACCAAGCAAACTAGTAAGAAAAAAACAGAAAGACGGAAGTGAGACGACAATCTCTTGCTGGCCCACAAAAATCTGTTTCTTTTGGGCCACGCCCTGTGGTGCTCAGGGCTGACTCCTGGCTCTGTGCTCAGGGTCATCCCGGCTCTGTGCTCAGGGTCATCCCGGCTCTGTGCTCAGGGTCACTCCCGGCTCTGTGCTCAGGGTCACTCCCGGCTCTGTGCTCAGGGCTGACTCCTGGCTCTGTGCTCAGGGCTGACTCCCAGTTCTGTGTTCAGGGTCACTCCTGGCTCTATGCTCAGGGCTCACTCCTGGCAGTTCTCAGGGCTGACTCCCAGCTCTGTGCTCAGGACTGACTCCCGGCAGTGCTCAGGGGCCCATATGGGATGCCCGGGACTGAGCCTGGGCAGTGTACAAGGCAAACGCCCGACCCACTGTCCTATCCCTCAGGCCCACGTGGCTGTATTTCGGGTCTGAGGTGGAATCGGGGGCCTGTCTCCCCCTCTGAGCCGACTGTGGGCACCCGGGGGTGGGCAGATGCTCGAGGGCGTCTGGGGCAGCAGGCGGGCAGGCGTCCAGTAGAGGGTCCGGAACCTTCTGCCGAGGCCCCGGCCTGCCTGGGCGCAGACTGCACCCACAGCTGGAAGAGGGAAGGCTGGAACACGCCCGCACGCGGCCTAGCGCCCCGCCCGCCCCCCCAGGGGACTCTTCAAAGAGCAGCAGTGCCGGCTCGTCCGTGACTCAGTCTCCCTACGGGCCCTGCTGGCTGCAGTGCTGCCTTCTGCCCCTGCAGTGGACGCTGGGGTGTGGCTGGCTGGTGTTGGGGAGCTCTGAGCCCCCCGGAGTCCCCACAAAGTCGTCCCCCTGGGCAGCTCGCCCTCACCCCTCCTTCTCTCGTGAGGCCACTCCCGGCAGTGCTCAGGGGTCACCCCTGGCGGAGCTTGGGGGACCCTAGGGGATGCCAGGGATCGAACCCGGGTCGGCCACTGCAGGACAAGCGCCCTCCCCGCCGTACATCTCTCCAGCCCGACACCATCGCGCCTTCTGCCGGCGCCCTGTGTTCCCCGGGTCGGGGAGGGTCCGACCTGCATAGCCGGCCAGGGGTTGCTGGCCCTGGGGTGGCGGCTGGAACTCTCTTAACCCTTTCAGTGAAGCCTGCAGTGTGTGGCCCCGACCCAGAAGCCGTTCATTTCTGCAAGCGGGGTTGGCGTGGGCTCCAGAGAGAGGCCTCAGGGGCACCGGGGTGCCCAGCTCTGGAGACCCCGAGTTCCGTGGCAGGTGCCCCTGTGGTCCCTGGGCGCGACTGGGCATGGTGTCCCAGGGGGATCGTGGGGGGGCCCAGGAAGAGGGCAGCTCGGGCGCCTGGCACGGAGGCCTCGCCCTGTGGGTCCCAGCCCCGCCCCCGCAGAGACCGGGAGCAGAGCTCAAGGGCCAGAACCCTGCTGGACACCCGGGGCCGGTTTCCCATTGGAAATGTCCCCCCCAGGCCTGCCGGGAGTACCCCCTCCCCAGCTGACCGCTGAGGCACTTCCCCGCTCGGCAGCTGGGCAGAGCAGCTGTCAGGAGGGTGCGGCTGACCTGCCTCAGACCCCCCCTGCTGTCCTCCTGGTCCGCCAGCATCCGAAGACGCTTCTGGAACCCCCTGCTGACCTTGGCCTTGGTCTACTGCCTCCCATGGGCAACGCCAGCTCCCGGGGATGGGGGTGGGCTGCAGAGCCCCTGACTTCCAGGGCCATCCACACAATGCCCGGGGGGGCTGTCTGTGTCCAGCCGCTTGACCCTTGGCTGCAGTCCACTGCCATCAGGAGAGGCCTCCTCCCGAGGACAGTGGTCCAGGCACTGAGGGGGCTTGGGGGTACGTGCGCTCCGGCAAGGGGCCATACCTGGAGGAAGGACCACACGCTAGACACGTTGGCGCGTCCCCCGGGTTCTCGGTTCGAGTCTCCGCTCAGCCCGTCCCACGAGGGCCCGGGGAGTCACAGCCGGGGACGGGCGCCCTGCACGGAGGCCACTGATGGGGAGAGAGGGTCGAGAGTGGCCGGGAGGTTCGACTGGGCCCCCGTGGAGCAGGCTGGGCCAGGGGTGCCACCCTGAGAGACACTTGGGGAGCCGAGTGTGCGGGCCCTGAACGGCGCACGCACCAGGCGACGGGCGCTGGGCAGAGGACAGAGGCCTGTCCCCAGGCCCCTCTAGGCTCTGCCCCCCACGGGTGCCGTGTTCCCGTGTGTGTCCACCCCATTCTCCGGGGGAGCCCCTGGACCCCCGCAGCTCTTCTGGCTGACTGGCACCCTGGGGAAACCAAGTCAGGATGGAGGGGCTGCACTGTGTTGGGGGCATCGCAGGGGGCACAGAGACCACAGAGGGGCCAGAGGGGAGCTGCACGCTGGGCTTAAGTCCAGGCCCCAGGAAGTCCCTCGCATGCAAGAGGGGCAGCAGCCCTGGCTTGAAGGCGTGCGTGGCTGTGAGGCTTCAGGACCCGTGGGAGACGCGGGGGACGGGGCAGGCGCTCTGGTCGCTGGGCACTGATGCCCTCCCCCGCCGCGGGCAGTGTTTGTTGATAAACAATGCTTTCTGGAGCTGCACGCTGTGTCCACGGCTGGCGAAGGAGGGGGGTCTGTGTGCAGTGGCCTCTGGCCCAGGCGCTGACCCATTGGCCTTATCCCTGCTCTGCCTGGGACCCGCAGGCAGATGCGCCCGGAAAAGGTGGCAGCTTCTGGGAAGAGAAGTTCAGGAGGCCGATCCCCTGGGCGGGAGGTGCAGGCTCGCGGGTGTGCACGCCCATGTGCAAGAATGTGTGTGCGTGTGCTTTTGTGAGTGCATGCATGTGCACATATGTGTGCAAGTGTGTGTGTGTGCAAGCATGCATGTGAACAGTGGGTACATGGGTGCACAAGTGCTCACATAGAGGTGTGCACACGCGTGTGTGCAGGTGTGTGTGCATGCATGTGTGTACACAGACGTGTGCAGGTATGTGTACATGTGTGCAGGTATTCGTGTGTGCGTGTACTTGTGTGTGCATATAGTTGTATGTAGGTATATGTACTTGTGCGTGTAGGTATTTGTGTGTACAGGTATTCGTGTGTGTGCAAGTACACACACAGTGTGTGTGTGTGTGTGTGTGCGCGCACGCACATGTGTTGCATCCTGTAAGTCACAGATGTCAGAACAGGTCACTGATGACCCTAAGGGGCAGTCGGTCCAGGCCCGGCAGCTGGCAGGGCCGTGGGGAGCAGCCGGAGTGGGAAGTCGCCTGAAGCCCCCATATAGCGGGGGGCAGCCCTCCTCTGACAGAGGGCCAGGCCCCTGCTCCCGCTCCACCTGCAGGCACTGGCCCATGCTTCCAGGACATTCCTCCACGGTAAGAGCTGCACATGAAGGCTGATAAGAGTGTGGCGCTGCCCCCGCCCACAGCCCAGAGCCCCTCCTGCTGGCCCCTGGGCGCTGGGCTCTCGGCGGACACTCGAGGCCGCACAGGCTGGAACTCCACACTTCCGGGGCTTTTCACCACGCAGGCCCCGGCTGGGCGGCGGATGAAATCAAGGAGCCGTGTGAGGGCCCCCCAGTCTCCCAACGAGACTCATGTGCCCAGAGCAGGGCGGGGCCCCCTGCCCACGCGCCCCGGGGGAAGTCTGGCGGCCAGCGATTGGGTTCTCTGGGGGACGCTGGCGCTCCTTATCCTCCACTGCCTTCCTAGAATAGACCCGCGTGTCATCCAGGAAGGGCTGGTCACGGCCACTTCCCGGGGATCCTGTGCCGCACCCCTCCAGGGTGCCCCGTCTGCC